AGCTGCGGCGGAGAAAGCTGCTCATGAATTCTGAACAGCGCATCAATCGGATCATGGGCTTTCACAGGCCTGGGAGCAGCGCGGGTGAGAACCTCCGTTTCCCCAGTCTTCTGCCCATCCCTTTGAGTGTTCGAGATCATTCTTGTTTGTCTCCTCCACCCCGCTGACCTTTTCGACCAAGTCCTACTCTCTGACCTCCCGTCCGGCCCCGCCCCTTTGGTGAGGCCCCAAGTTCTCATTTCTAAACCCCAGGACATATCTAGTCTCTCTCAGTTTCCCAAGGGGTTCGCCCTGAGGTTGCCCCCATCTGCGCCACGTGCTGCGAAGCCTTCTCTCCTGAGACCGTCTGCCGTGGTGTCTTCTGCCAAGTTAGCGTGAGATGGCCCCTCCCCGGCCTCTCTTTAAGAACGCACATTTTATCCGTAGACTGCTGTCTATTGTGTACCTCGGGAAGATTGCCTTCTTTTCTTTATGTTCCAAATGCTTTTCCTTCCATTGCCTTCCCTATCGTCTATCTTCTTTTGCCTTTGCTATAACTCGGCCCACATGAGCTGCCTCCCTAGTCCTTCCCACGTGAATCAGGGACTCTTCTGGTCGTATCCTAGTGTCTGTGTTTGGTACCCTCAACACTCTCATCTACAGGCCTTATAAAACTGGTGGAAAAAAATTGCAGCGCCCATTCTTTATAGACCCAACAAGTGGGACATACCCATCTGAGGTCTTCTCCGTTACTGTGCTGAGATTGATGTGCGTGATGTCAGGAACTGCGTCTAACCCTGAAGAGAGTTCCTCATTTCTCCCCCAATAACATGTACAATGAATTTATTAAAACTTTTTCATGTCAGTATTATCGAACACTTAGTATGTGTTAAGTATGTGCCAAGTTTCTTTTGAGCATTGCCGTTAGTAATGATGGCTTTAAGTCACTGGTTGCAAGTTCCATGGATCTTTGTGATTTCTGTCTGTGGGACTTAAGATATATAGCTCTGAACTTTTAGACATTTCACAGGTTTGCGACTGAAAAATATCAAGAGAGGTAAGAGCACTATTTCAAATTGTAGAACAGTCGACCTATTTTCCCCTATGAGGATTAATAGCAGGATTTTTTTTCGTTCCTAAAACATTTATTTTCTTTCTCGAAGAACATTGTATATTTTTTCTTTTGCTTTGAAATTTTAATTTTATTTGGCATTAAAATTTTTTTCTTTGTTTTAAACCTAACAGCATCTAAAACTACTCAAGTGCCCGTCTGTTGATGGCTCCTTGACTGCTGTAGAAAGATTACATAAACAGTAGCTGTAAGATACGCCACACCCTATGCTTACAGGACTCTGGATTTAGACGTGTGATATTAAAATACAGATTTTTTAAAGCTTTACTAATTTAATATTTTTAACCAAATAAGCTAGAGCAGGCAATGCAGTCATACTTCTGAGATATATTATCCAAGAAAACTTGGTCTTTATAGCTTGGCTCCATCCCTCACTCTCTTTCCCAATTTGTCCAATAGCCTTATCTTTTACCCTCAAAGTTTGGATTATATCCTCTGAAGGAATACTCCCTTTGATGTTTGAATGCGTAGAGAAAGGAACTACTTTGTTTTATGAAGAATCAGTATTAATTTAGATTCAAAGGTTGCCAAGTTCTAGCTGTACCGGCATATTTTAAAATAATAATTAGAAAGGTGTTTGCCAGTATGTAATACATAAGGTTTCTAAATTTCTTTTCCTCAGAAGAAGAAAGCCAAACAAAATCAAAGCAGCAGGACAGTGATAAATTGAACTCCCTCACCATTCCTTCGGTTTCTAAGCGAGTAGTGCTGGGTGATTCGATCAGTGCAGGAGCAACTGACCAGCAGAGTGGTGTGCCAGAGGTAAAGGGGACTCAGCTGGGAGACAAATTGGACTCTTTCATTAAACCTTCTGAGTGCAGTAATGATATAAGCCTTGAGCTCCGGCAGCGGAACAGAGGGGACCTGACAGCAGATACCGCCCAGAGGGGTTCTCGCCATGGCCTAGAACAGTACCTCTCCAGATTTGAAGAAGCAATGAAGCTAAGGAAACAGCTGATTAGTGAGAAACCCAATCAAGAGGATGGAAATACAACAGAAGAATTTGACTCTTTTCGAATCTTTAGATTGGTGGGATGTGCTCTTCTTGCCTTTGGAGTCAGAGCTTTTGTTTGCAAATACTTGGTAAGAGACGTAGTGGAAAGTACACACTGGTTGTAGTAATGAGTACTTTCAATCCATAGGATTCATTGCCAATATTAACGTAATACTTACCATATTCACATGGCTGTTTGAAGATGTGTTATAAACTGCTCTTCACCTTGGGTATAGAATGAGGTGTTCTGCTTAAACACAGAGCCTGATAATTGCTAAAATCTTTTTACATACTAAGTCCAGTTTTAAGTACTTTACCTATATTCATTTAACCTCATCCTTATGAACCAGGTATCATTTGAATTTGTGTTTTTTAGATGAGGGAATGACTCAGGTTAAATCATTTGCCCAGAGTCACACAGCTAAGTGACAGCTGAGATTAAACCCAGGCAGTTTCTTTCCAAAACCAAAGGGTAAAGTACCTGCAGATACCATATATTAATTATCATTTTTCAAATAATTTGAAACATTAAAATGCAGTTCCTATGAACATGATGTAATTTTTCTGTGGTTTGAAGGCATTCAACTTTTTACAATGTTGTTAATACTGTCATAATAGCCAATGGCTGTTCAATGAACATTAGGACTTACTGGTCCTTTTGTTTTAGTATGTGGAAGAAAGAAGAAAAGTATAACTCATAGTTCAGTGTCTTGTTCTTTGAGGTATTTCCATTCAGTAGACATTTTAAGAATATGAACCGAGTCCTAGGTACATAAGTAAATTTTCCAGATAATTAAGGTTTATGTTATCAAGCAAAAAAGTTTTAAAAATATCTACTTTTATGCCAGTTTTTCCTTAAAGAGAATCTGTTTAACAGATTTGATCTTTTTTCCCCTGATAGTACATTGTCATCATAGCTTTTAGCATTTAGTGAGATGTATAGCTGCTACTTTTATCTAAAAGGCTTTGTACTTTCATGCTTTTAAAGTTACATCCTGTTTTTGTGCCTCGTTTAGTGTGAAGTTTTTTGTCTTTTGGGTTAGTTTTTTTTTTTTACTGTCAAATTTTTCAACTATTTCTCACTGCTCTCACTATTCTTCCACCTAGCAATGTTTGTTCCTTCACTCCCTTTGTAATATTTTAAGTTTAGAAATAAATTAAGTATTATTTTGATCCTTTTTTCTGTTTTATTGTGTGGGAAGTGAAATAACCAAGCCATTGTATTTATAATAAGAATAGCTTGTCATTTGAGGGCCAGAGATGAGTTAATTTCTTGTCCTAAAGTGTGAGGAGTATATAGCGTCTGTTATGAGTACTGAGCCTTTTAGGTGTGCTTTCAAACTGTCAGGTAATTACCTCTATATGAGGGAGGTGTTACTGCATGATGTGTCATACATTAGTCACCTAGGACACTTTAGGTTATTTAAAAGATAAGTTTTTAAGAGAGAAGACATTTCTGGGGACGTTAAAAGAATGTGACTTGAGAAACATTTTATGGTCAGATCAAATCCTTTTATTTTCTTCACCTTTTGCTGAAACAAGACTGCTTTAAGCCACTAAAATTGAATATTTTATTAGTTTTTTTGCTTGGAATTTTATAGCTGCTGTTAGTTTGATTTATTGTTATTTGAATGATTATGCTGGAAATACGTAACTTTATCTTCTGTCTTCACAGTCCATATTTGCTCCATTTCTTACTTTACAACTTGCGTACATGGGACTATACAAATATTTCCCCAAGGTAAATAAAATTTTTTTCTAAATTATGGTGATATATTTAATTGATTAATGACTAGATGATTTTAAGAACTTAAAAAAAATTATTTATATTTGTGGTCTGAATCAGTGCTAGTTAAAGGGTGATTGGCTCACCAGTGCCAGTCTTCATACTGTTTGTTTCTGTATGTAATGAGTTAAATTCAGAAAGTAATTAGAGACTTTTATAGCAATTTGACATTGCCATAACATTTGAATATTTTTTATACATATGTATATATTTTAATATCATGGGTTATTTTTGACTTGCGTCTAACTTTATTTAGTCTTTTTTTTGTTTGTTTTTGGGGGAGATAATTAAGTTCATTTATATGTGTGTGTGTGTATTTTTTTTTTTAATGGAGATACTGAGGATTGAACCCAGGCCCTCATGCATGCTAAGCATACTCTTCACCACTGAGTTATACCCTCCACCCTTTATTTAAAAGAATGTTGGTCCACTGTGAATTGGGAGGAAGCTTCGTGAAAGAATTTGAATGGTACTTGTGTAAGAAAGTGTTAAATTTAATTATTTAGTAAATTTAGTAAAAGATTTGTTTACAATGAGGGAAGTTAATTTAAAAATGTTTAGTCATCTTACTGTGCTCCTTACTAGATACTTAATAATAGTGTACTTTATCTTTAATGCCAAGGGCCTGATGTTTCCAAGAAACAAATGGCCATACTTACAGAACAGAATCCTGGGGAGCATCAGTGTTTTCCTGGTCTGCTTGACTACAGTTGTATTGTACAGTTTTATGGGTCTTGGCTTGGCTGGTATACAAGATACCTTACTTGTGTAGCGTTACTTAGTTGAGTTTTGTATGAGATTGTTGCCAAAAAATGGCTACTTGGCTGTTTGTTTAGTTGTTTGTAATGCACTGATAGACCTCACGTGTGTGTTGAATGGATTTGAAACATTTTTGAGAAGTCAGGTAAGTCCAGTACACAAAGTAAAGGAGTGAAGAAAGAAATGTAGTTTCAATTTTTAATTAAAACATTTTTTATGATATAGATGTATATTTATTGATCCCTCCCAAAAATGTAATATTAATTAAACCATTTGTTTAGAAATTTACAGTTGAAACATTGATTTTAGTTTTGCAATAGGAAAAGTTTGGAAACAACCTAAATGTCTACTAATAAGTGTCTAGTTAAAAAAATTACAGCATATCTATTCAGAATGATGAAGCTCTCCATGAAATGATAATGGTAAGCTCACCAAGAAATATTAAGATAAAAATCAAAATACAGAATAGGATATATAGTATACTCCTTTTTTGTAAAAAGGAGGAAAATAATATGTATTTGATTTTGCTTACATATGTATAAAGCTCTGGAAGAATATTACATGAAATTATTAGCAGTGGTTATTTGTGACAGAGTGTGTATGGGTTACTAGGTAAATGGGGGAGAGAAAAGTAAGGGAGATTTGTGTATAATTTTCCTTTTACAAAACATTTTGTTTTAGCAAGTTTAAAACACAGAAAAGTTGAAAGCGTTGTGCAGTGAACACCCTAGTACTTACTACCTAGATTCTGTAATTAACATTTTATTATATTTATCATGTATATGTCCAATTTTCTGTCCATTTTCAATGCATCTTTTTCTCTTCATGCATTTCAAAGTATGTTGTAGATGAAGATACCAGTTTATTTTACCTCTCCACATTTCAGCTTGCATATCAACTACAATTCAATGTTTATGATTCTACTTCATTTTTTGAGATAAAATTTTCATACAGTGAAATGCTTAAGTCTTCAGTATACCATTTAATGAGTTTAGACAACCTGTGAAAACCAGATCCTTTCAAGGTTTAGAACATTAACTGCCAGGAAGTTCCATCATGCCCTTTTCCAGGGAGCACCAGCCCCTACAGCCTGAAGGTTTTTGATTTTTTTTTCCCCACCATAGATTGGTTTTGGTTGTTTTAGTACATATTATAAATGAAATTGTTCCTGTACTGACTTCTTTGTACAAGGCTTCTTTCATTCTGCATAATATTTTTGAGATTCACCCATATTGTTGAATGTGTCAGTAGTTTATTCTGTCTCTTTCTGTCTCTCTCTCTCTTTTTTTGCTGAGTAATATTCCACTGGGTGAATATATCCATTTATTTATCTAATCTATTGATGGACACCTGGGTTGTTTCCAATTTTTGGCTAACATGACTAAAGCAGATAAGAACTTTCTTGTATGAGTTTTTTTGTGGACGTAGGCTTTGATTTCTTTTGGCTAACTATAGCTTTTTCTGTTAGAAATTTTTTTGGCCCATTTGATTGGATTTGGTGATACCAAATTAATAAATGAAAATTTAGCCTTGAATCTCTTAAGAAATGTGGCCCAAAATTATATTAGGAAATAAATGTTTAGTGGTATCCTGTTGCATCTGTAATCAAGTGTGAATTCCTTTGGATGGCAATTAGGGCTCTACAGAATGTTCCTTTGATTCTGTTACAAATAACTCACTGTCCTCCAGTACACCTATCACTCTCCTGACTTTTGTTGTCATCAGACTTAACCTTAGAATAGATTTCTCCTCTCCCTTCTGCCCATCTAAATCTTGCTTACTGTTGAAAGCCTGTTTTTAATTTCATTTCCTCCTGAAATCCTTCCCTGTGCTTTATTCATTCACAAAATCCTGAAGTAATTTCCATTTCCTTTGAACCACTATGGCACCTATTATCCATGTCATTTATTTAGCGGTTTATGTCCTGTTGAGTATTGCTTCTCCTGTTTTTGTCTGGTGCTGTGTATATATCTTAAATAATTATTTATGTCTTTCCTCTAAGATAAGATCTTTTAAAAAAAACTTTTGATAGCAAGAATTGTGTCTTTTCCATTGCCTAACAGTTTTCTGCTTTACATATTACATGCTCAGTGTTTGTTAATATATTATTGGTCGATATTTTAAAACTTCATTAACAGTTTTAAAATCAGTTAGGCAAAAATAGCGGCAGCAACGTTTTTATAGCGTTTAAGTAGTCTTCCGAAAGCTGCAAGATTTATTTAAGTCTTTCTCTGTACAGGGTGAAAAGAAGATAAAGACAACAGTACTAACAGCTGCACTTCTGTTATCTGGAATTCCTGCCGAAGTGATAAATCGGTCAATGGATACGTATAGCAAAATGGGCGAAGTTTTCACAGATCTCTGTGTCTACTTTTTCACTTTTATCTTTTGTCATGAACTGCTTGATTATTGGGGCTCCGAAGTACCATGAAGCCTGCAGAACTCACAAGGAGAAACTTAGAAAAAAAATAATTTCTCTTCTATGTTGCAATGTCTCTAAAGGAGGCATATTGGTTTACACCTTCATGTAATTCTTTTACTTTTGAGGGTTGTAAAAGCACTTGATTAAGAATGGAATGGCAGGTTCCCTGATTTAAAATGGTTGAGTTTGTATTAATACTGATGTGAAGAATAGAGTCCCAATGTCAGTAATTGATTTTTCTTGTTTAATTAGAGTTCCTAGTCTACACCTTTCCCTAACTTCTCAACATTTGTAATTCTTCTTTGGGGAGCTAACCTAGTGCTTTTGGGAGAACAGGTGAACATGGTCTCAGCCAGTCCCAAGGACTGCACTTGTATTTGTATTGTCTGTCCTGGGAAGTGGAGCCATCTCAAAAATAAAATGAAAGAAACTGAATTGTCTAATGTTAAGTCTGCACATTTTAAACTTACAAGGGCTGAATAAGGTAGACAATTTTATAATTTCTTGTTGAGCCAGTATCTTAATTTTCACTCCAGCACAAATATTTAATGGAAGAAATGGTTAAGATTCGTACATATGAAATTAAAAGTTATTTTTGAAATCTTTATTTAATTTTAATTTATCAAAATTTTTATTACCAAACTCAGAATTGGCAATTTTTGCTTTTGAGTTTTTAGTTTTCAGAAGTATGTTTTTTAAGGAAACTACAATATAATGGTTAGATATAAAAATGGGATTTGAAGAATTGACTGCAGTATGCAACCTAATATATATATATATATATGCTTTTAACTAACTTGGTAACACTGTAATATTTGGAAAGTTTTTCTTCTTACAAGAGTTATAAGTGTTATATCACTTGATACTACATTTCTTGACAGTTTTTTGTATAGTCTGATTAATCCTTGTGATATTAAAAACACACTTTTTTTTATTACTCACAAAGTCTTTTTATTTTAAACCATGATAATGGAGAGTATGTACAACAATTTAAGTCTATTCCTCTGACCTAGGGTAAATTACAAGCACACATATTTCCTGATTTCATGGGAATCTAATAGAGGATTGGAAAGCATCCTGAATTTGTCACTCTCTTCCCCAGTCCCTGGGGAGATACGAGGGGTTTTTAATTGCACATTTACTTCTTTTGTTTCTTAAAAAAAAAAGTCCCATTTTGTCAGTTGGCACATGCAACGTTATAGTAAGTGTAGATCATCATCAAATCTATTTCAAAAAGAAGATATAAGACATCTGTCTATAGGTGCCACTTTTTCTTTTCAGCTGATTGGCATTTCCCTGAGTATTTGTTTAAGTCTGCTGAATAATATCAAATGGAAATGAAAATTTCTTAGTGTTTGGAATAACTTAAAAGGATATTTTATTTAGGAATTTCAGGGATGTTTATGAGTTAAAACAGGATTGACGAGGATGATTGCTGAGAGGTGAAATCTTCTCCCATAGCTTTTTAATCTGATTAGTTGTATAAATGGACATGTGTGAATCAGTTGGTACTAAAAACAGCAGGAGAGTTATGACATACCAGAACTGGGTTAATTGTTGGAATCAAAATCTGCTTTGGAAGGCAGGACAGTTTGATAAGTAAGTGATGTATTGGAGACATGGCGGACTATAATTACTTCTTAAACCTCTCCTAACAGATAAAAGTAGCTTTTTCTAGGATATAGAAATGCTGTGAATTTATCATAAATATACTGTGGACATAAAAAACCAATCAGGATTGTCAGGTGAATATGTTCTCTTAAATGGGAGTTAGAAATAAAGTGTCTTGAAAAGAGCTCTGACCTGGGTATCACATGATTGAATTCTGGTTCCAGCTTAGATTCTGAAAAAATTAATGATTTGCAATTAAACTTGTTTTCCAAGTCTCTGTGTTCCCACTTAAACTCAAGAAATTTGAGTATTCAAATTCTACCTATAACAATTTCTGTATGGCCTCATCCAATTCCTTAATTTCAAATACCATGTACAGACAGCTCCTGACGTAGGATAGTTTGACTTACAATTTTTCAGCATTATGATGGTGCAAAAGTGATACACATTCATTAGAAAGTACTTCAAATTTTGGATTTTTATCTTTTCCTGGCCTAATGATCTGCATTATGATACTCTCTGGTGACGCTGGGCAGTAGCAGAGAGCTGCAGCTCCTGGTCAGCCACTCCAGATGATAAATTTATAACCATTCTGTACCTATCAACCATTCTGTTTTTTTTTTTAAGGGGGGGAAGGTAATTAGGTTTGTTTATTTAATGGAGGTACTGGGGGTTGAACCCAGGACCTCATGCATGCTAAGCATGTACTCTACCACTTAGCTATACCCTCCTCTGCAACCAGTCTGTTTTTCACTTTCAGTACAGTATTCAATAAATTACATGAGATATTCAACACTTTATTATAAAATAGGCTTTATGTTAGGTGATTTTGCCCAACTGTGGGCTAATATTTGAGTATTGAGTGCTTTTAAGGTAGGCTTGGCTAGGCTATGGTGTTTGGTAGGTTAGGTATATTAAATACATTTTCCATTTAGGGTATTTTAAACTTACAATGGGTTTATAAGGGTGTAACCTCATTAAGTCGAGGAAGATCTGTATTATTACACATTCTGTAAAATGCTGATGACCCTTGTATCTCCAACTTCTATTTCTCCCTTGAACTCCAGACTCTTAATGTTCTCTTACACAGCCATAATCTCCTGGATACCTCACGTGCGGAAACACTTACCTTATCTCCTTCCCCAAGCAAATTGCTGCGCACTTGCCTTCTTCATCTCCACAAATTCACCGCAGTCTGCAGTAGCTCTGTTTAAAACCTGAGAGTCATCTTTATTCCTTTCTTACTCTTAAAGTTCACATCCACTTTATCAATCAGTGTTTGGAGAGCAGCCTGTGGAATATACCTAGATTCTGATCGGTACTGTTTCCACTGTTTAATTCACTAGTGGTTTCCTATTTCCTTTAAAATGAAACCCACACTCCTTCCCTTCAGTCCACATACAAGCTGTTACAGTGGCTCTGATACCCGACCCTCCTTGACGTGCATTGTTACATGGGCTCAGGTCTTCCTTACCCCTGGTATGAACTGCACAGGTGGACAGTAAATCACAAAGGAAGAGCAGAAGCCCGTCTTGGAGTCTTCACTTGTTGGTTTTATTTTTTCTTTTCTTTCTGTTTTTTTATTCAAATTTATTGAGGTAAGTAAAATTTACATACAATATGACACACCATTTAAAGAGTGTACAGTTAAGTGAATTTTGACAAATGATTATACATCCATGCAAAGACCGCCACAATTAAGGCTTAGAACTCTATTACCCTTATGTGTAAGAGGCTTGTAAAGTAAATGAGAGCCTCTCTCCCTTCACAGTTTTCTGCTATAACAACTGAACATTTTTGGCCTATGTTCCACTAGGCAAGTTTTTCTCAGTTTTGACTGGACTGGACTGCAGAATCACCAAGGAAGCTTGAAAATTCCCAATGCACAGAAAACACTTCACACCTATCAAATCAAAATATCAGAATGAAACACGCATCCGTATACATTTTTTAAGCTCCCAAGCGCAGGCGACGTTGAGAACCATTGTAATTTTGTGAATGTAATTTGAGCTCTTCATCCTCTTCACCAGGTGAACACTTACCCAGTCTTCAAATCTCACCTAAAAGGTCACTTCCTCAGGGAACTCTTTCTGAACTCCTCTCCTATCGTGGAATCTCCTTCCTGTTTTATTACATTTACCCGTGTTTTTGTTAATGCCTATATCCGTCATTAGATTGTAAGGTCCCCGGGATCTAGCACATGCCTGACACGTAACAATATATATAAATGAATGAATGTATAAATGAATAAGAATGAATGGAGATGTTTGTAGCATCACTTAGGGCACGTTAAGGCAGACGTCAGCACACGTCCTCGGACAGCTTGATGAGGCACTTGGCGCTTCTCTGGCCCCTGCAGGAAAGACCCTCTCAGGGCCAGCAAGGCAGAAGCACCGCCCTCTACCGCACGAACGAGCTGGCGCTTCCGCGGGGAAAACCCGACCGATGCCGCATCCTTCGGCGCGGCCGGCGTTGTGCGGCCTCCAGCCGACAGAAGGCGCTGTGGATCGACAGCAGCTTCCGGCCCGCTTTTTCCTTCCTATTGTCGCTGGCGCCAGCACGTCCTGTTTTCGTTGGCCGCGCTCTGATGGCCGCTGCCACTGTGGCTGCTGCCGCTTCTTAGTGCTGCTACTCGCCCGGAGATCCGAGAGCAGCGTTGTCTCATAACTTTCTCGGGTTCTCCTGCGCGTAGTGCCCAAGGGCACAGCTTTCCCGCTGCCGGCGGCATGGGCCGGGAGTCACGGTGAGGAGGCGCGCCGGGCGGGCGAGCGGCTTCCTTGGAGTGGGGGAAGAGGCGGGAGTTGAGGTGGCTGTGGGGCCCGGCGCGGCCCCACGTGCGGCCAGCGCTGCCTGCGGCCGCTGGAGGGGCTGGGGGACCTCCGCTGAGTGAGTGGCTGTTCTTGGGTCGGCGGCGGGCACAGGGTTCCCCTGCACTGGTATCGGCCTGTTTTGAGCCCAGGACGTCCTCCGAGACGTCAACCATATCCCTACATTTCTACGGAGCTTCCCGTGATCGTCTCAGCCGGTAGTGATACCAGTTGAATTTCTAACCTCTTCACATTTGCAGCATTTCTTTGGCTACTTTAGTTCTTTGTCCTTGTGTGGTATTTTCTCAAGTCAGTGAAAGGGTGTAGACATTTTTGCATCACCTACAACACTCTTCATGACTAGGCTTTTACTGAGACACAATAAATGCTTGTTACGTGGATATGTATTTCGCAAATAGATCTCAGGTTTCTTTATTGTGTGTTTTTTATCCTTTTTAAACTGTTGACTCAAAGAATCTTATTAGCACAATGATATCTCTTCAGAACTTTAGATTGTTGCCTGGTTTGGGATCTTGAGATTTTTTTATCTGAAAGGTGAGTATTTGCTTAATATTTAGCGGTGACTGAAAGATCATTTATATCTAGGATATAAATAATTAATAAAGTAATAGTAATTTATGGAGGTATAATTAACTTTCAAGGACATGGACAAAGCTTAAGGGTAGAGCTTGTTGGAATTTAGCAAATACATAAAGACTGTTTCCATAACGACAGAAAATTCCTGTGAAGATCTTTTAAATCTCTGTGAAGTCCTTGCTGTTCATCTGGCCACCCAGACCAGAAACCTGAATGTGATGTTTATTTGACTTTTTCCTTTCTCTTTGCCTGCATCCAGTTTGATTCTCTGCCCTGTTGCCAATTCCTGACTTAATTCAGGCCATAATCATTTATTGCTCAGACTGCTATACATGCCTCAAAGTGATTATCTTCCACTGATCTTGTCTCCCAATTGATTTCACAGTGCCTCCAGAGTGCCCTTCTGAAATAAACATAAGA